CTTACAGCAATTATGAGCTGAGGATGGCTGTTCATAGGTAGCTAACTTTTGCTGCAAGACCTCTGAGTCCATTAAAGCCAGAAAGGCTTCAAACAGAAGGTATTTTTAAAAGTATCTCCATAATGTATTTGTCTAGGTAGGTGTAAATCTTATAAAACTTCCCTTTCTCCTTCAGTAGGCCTCTAAATCATCTGTTTCTGACCAGCTCTGCATTAGTCTATCAGACGAGGGTTTTATGTAATGTGCTGAAACCATAAAGCTGTTTTCTCTTTCACTGCTTCAGCTAATTGAGGATGTAACTCATACGAAATTAAAACCTTTTACACATTTATTTTATACCTCTAAATATTTCATCTTCCCAAGGAAATGAGAGTAATTTATATGTGTGCATATAGAATTTGCTCTGTAGACAGTAAAATTCAACAGTAGCTTTTCTTCCCACAGTGCCTCAGCTGGTGATTGTAACTACTCACAAAATTGAAGGAGAAAGATAGGATTGGTTTTATGCACCAGTGATGCCAAGGTCAACATCTGCTTAAGCACTGATTTCTTTTCCCTGGCATCTGGGACTTCATCAACCCATCTACAATCCTCAGTCTTACAAATTGGGAGAGTCAGTTGTTTGAGGGCTCCTCCAACAACCAGTTCAGTTTTCACTTACTCCACCATCACTTTCCAAATGACCCTTCCCATACCATTAGCCAGGAACCAGAAGATGACTTTCTAGTGTGTCTCAAGGCCAGCAAGGGTGTCCCTTCTTCAGCACTGTTTCAGGCCACAGGGAAATGATGCTTTTCTGTTGCTTCAGTAGCACCTTTCATGCAGAATGGCAGAAGCTGACAGCTAAGACCTTCCCTGCCAGCACAGCTTTTGTAGCAGAGATGTGGGCAACAGCTTCCTGAAGGTCGCAAAGTCAGAAGCCAACAGTTCCTGGAGCTGCATAGGTTTGGTCAGCTACTTGTAAAACAAGTTATTTGTTATTTTGAAGAGTGAAAGAAAGGAGGAAAGAGAGCAAGTATGAGCAAGAGGAATGATATATCTAGGTATGGAAAAGATCTGGTATCAACTAACTAAAAAAAAATACAAAATGACAAGTTTTGTAAGGAAGAAATTCTTTTTCATCTGTTGTTTTATTACTTGGTTCTCACTTGTGGCATTTTTAATTGTCAGGAAGAAATTCGAAGGTGTACCCTTGAATGCCTAGAAGAGGAGACTATAAAAAACAGCAATCTTCGCTTCAGAATACGGAAATTTCCAAGGGAGATTATGGCAGAGATGAGAGGTAGTACTGATTTTGTCAGCTCTGAAAATAACAAGAGAATTGAATTTTCTATATGTTTAAACAATTTGAAGCATTCTATAGATTAAATCTCACTGCTAAAGGTAAACCAGTCAATAATAACTTGCTACTAATGGAGAAATCAGAGAATGGTTTGGGTTGGAAGGGACCTTTCAAGACCATCTAGTCCAACCCCCCTGCAACAAGCAGGGACGTCTTCAACCAGATCAGGTTGCTCAGAGCCCCGTCCAACCTGACCTTGAGTGTTTCCAGGAATGGGGCTTCTACCACCTCTGTGGGCAACCTGTGTTTAGGTGTTTGCTAATGTATGATACTGTCAAGGATTATTCTCTCACATAAGAGTGTAAACGAGAGATGTCTTCACTGAAGACCATGCGCAAGCACTAGAGGAAAGACTGGAGAACTGCAATATTTAGTTCTGGTCCCACCCACGCCACAGTCTTTCTCTGATACTTGAGATGGAGCACTTGAGTGCTCTGTGCTGCAAGGTCCCTCTTTGTGAAGTAGGGTTAATAATGCTTATGTGATGTGACCTTACTTTTGAGTGGGTTTCATCTGTCCAAATGCTTGTCAGCTCTCTCTTTCAGATAGTAAAGAGAAAGAGGCACTTCTAGGCATGTTTCATCTCACCCTAGAATAGATATTTAAAGCAAGTCAGAAGAACCATGAACTTGAAGTGCGTCTTTCTCACCACTGACTATGAAGGGAGGCTAAAACGTTAGCTCAAACGTAGGTATCTAGATTAAATTAAAACTTGAGCTCCATTTCTCTTTCTTCTCAGGTATGGCTTCACTTTTAAGATGACCAACCCATATTCTGCTACAACCCCTCTATTTGCTCTGTAGTCACAAAGCAAAGTGGTCAGGGATTTGATCTAGATGAATGTTAGGATTTCTTCTTTTTGGGAGGAGTAGAGGAGTGGAGAGTTCTTTATCTGGCTGACCATGAGGCTACATGATTGTTAGTGGTGGCACAGCAGGAGAGATGGCAACATGGCAGGGTGGCCAGGGAGAGCAGAACTACTCCTCTTGGAGTTAGATCAGCTTTAGGTTCATTATGAAACAGCAACCAGAGCTTTTCTTTTTCTTTTCTTTTTTAACCCCAGAAACATTCTATGTTGATTCATTACTTACAGCAAGTTTCCTCCCTCACCTTCTCTCTGCCTGTAGCAGGTGGTTGCTATGCGGTTAGTCGGTTGTTTATACTAGCTGCTCCCATCCTGCACTGCTTAAGTGTTTTTGTGGAGGTGGATGTATACTAATGTGACTGTTATCTCAGAAGCTGAAAAGATGCTGTAGTACAACACCCCTGCACGGAGGAGCTTTAACCACTGTGCCTCTTCTGCAGGCTCTTCACTTTCTCCCAGAGGTGCCTCTTCTGGGAGAAATGGGATTGAAATTCAAACAAGGTGATCCTGCTCCTTGTCCCTGGCTACCAGAGCTAGTTCTGCAGAAGATTTTTTTTCTAGGGGGGAAAGGAATAATTTTTATCAGTTCACTATATGTCTAGGTAATTTCTTAGACATACAGTATGAAAAAGAGCAATCGTTCTATGAGAACACAGCAGGTTTCTTCTTGTTTATAAATGCAGATGACTCAGGGAAAATGTGATAAGGCTAAACTACTGAAATAACATATGTGATTTCAGGGACATTAGTGTCTTAGAATCACAGCTATCACTTATCAGGTGACAGTACCAATAGCAGAGAATTAAAGATTATGGGTCAATCCCTTAATATATTATCTCATATTTACCTTTCTGTAGCTAAGAGGCTTCTGCATGTTTTGTACTTATTTTTTAGCTCTTGTTACTGCTGCACGTGAATCCAGTGCTGCCAAGATAAAGCAGCTGCAGTCTGCATTGAGAAGCATTGCTGATGAAATTGAATTACTGGAGGAGAAGCTAAGGCTTTGTGAAAGACAGAATGCTGCGCTGTGGTATGTATTCATTTGAACAAGGAAAACCATACTGGCACGATGATTAAGGAGAACTGAAATGTTATCAAAACGTGGTGAGTAGTGCTTGGCCCTCACTCCTGCAGGTAGCCACAAATGTTTCTAGGCAACTCTGTGCTGCAGCAGCCAACCTGAATTTGAAGATCTTGTTTTTTGAGCAGCAGAGCCTGCCTGCTGCTGCCTGCCTTCTGCAGCTCTGGTAAGCTTGCTTAGGGAACCTGTCTGCAGCTTTGCTTCTCCCACTGACAAGGAGAGTTTTCTCTTTCAACAATTAATGTTAAGAAACTACTAGAGAAAAAAATCATAGTTTTCAGTTAAAGAACGAACTGTGGAAGGAACTCTGAATCAGTAACTGTGCTAGAAATCCATCTTCCTCTTCAAGAATTACCCAAAGAGGATACAGAGACTTGGGAGAAATTTTTCTTCCTGCCAGATTTCACATCACTGTCACCTCCTGCCGTGCTGCTAGAGCTGTTAAAAAATAAATCACAGTGCATTTTCTTAAGGGAAGCCTGCTTTCTTTGTTCCTTCAGTGCTTGCAAGCAGCTCTTCCATTTTTAATGAAACTTGTGAAAAATAATGGCATCAGTAAAAGTAAAACTTTTTCAAAGTTTTAATACAAGCAATCAAAAGCTGTTTTGTTGGAATGCAAGGTCTTAGATGGTCTTCATCACAGGTACTGGTGCATGTCGTGCTTTATGGTATGTATAGTGCTATAGCCTACTGAGTTGGATAGGCAAGTATTAATTTCAGTTAACATCTGAACCAAGTCTGTGATCTGAATGAATGGTAGGAAAAATAATTTTCTTTTTTAATTTTTTTAAATTTTTTTCTTTTTTTTCCAGTGAGGAACAAGAACACTTGCGGACACAGCATAAAGAAAGAGTAGACTTGCTGAATGAAAGGATGGCAAGAAAAGTTAACACAAATATTCTCTTAATGGAGATTCGTGATAAAACAAGAGATACAGAAAGAGAAATAATCAGGGCAAAGGCAGCATTAGAAGAATTGAAAGAAAAAATAGCTCAGAAAATGAGTAAACTTGAGAAAGAGCAAGAAGAATGTGAAGAAAAGGTAAAGGTTTTGAAACATGCTTCACAGTTTTACAGTTATTTAGTGCCAAACCCAAAATGACCTTAGAAATTATTCCAGATGTATTTTGCTTTCTCATATGGAGCTAACATATGTCTGACAGCAAAAAAGAAAAGTGGCTCTCTTGCCATTGGGTGCACACATGTTGTTTTGACTTCTGTATACATGTGCTTACGTGTGTGTGTATATATATATATGTGTGTGTATATATATATACACACACACACAAACATGCACCCATCAAATTTTTGTGGTATATGGGATTTGTTTTCTAACAGCACGTCTCAGAATGTCATATCTGTATTGGTGCTTCCTACTGACTGTGGGACAAATAATCATATACTAGAAATTCAAGCCCTCCAGTCAAACTGCTTAAAATAGAGGTACTATATATTTTCAGCAAGCTCTGAGATAAGATTTTACTGGTTTTTATATTCTGCACAGCTTTCAGTTCTGTATATTTTATATCCTTTCTGAAAAATAACATAAAACCAGATGATCATATTAAGAGAAAACTTTCTGGTAGAAAATATTGTATAATCAAGCTCCTAGACTGGAATAAAATCACATGAAATTTTTACTGATCAGATCCTAATTTATATGTTATATTAAGTAATTATTGTTTCTTTTTTTATAGAATATGGTCATTTGGTATATAGCTGCAGCTTTAGCAGAAAATTTTCTTCCACTGTGGATTTTGTGCTCATTTTATTTTGGAAGGCTCCAGATGTTTTGATATAAATTTTGAACCAATGCACAGTACACTGCTCAATTAATTGTATTATTTTTAATGCAGATGAGAGAAATAAAAAAAGCCCTTGACACTCAGAAGGCAAAAAATTCCAAGATAAAGCATGAACTTGAAAACTCAAATTTAAAAGTTTTGGACCTACAGCATTTGATAAGTCTGAATTCAACGGTAAGTTATATACCAAATTGTTTTGGTTCATTAGTGCAAAGTCAGTGAGAAGATGACTTGGATCCCAGCCCAGCACATGCCTCTGGAGGAGCTAGTTGTAGGACTAGCTGAAAAATAGAAATTATAATCAACAGATATTTAGGGGATGCAGACTATGACATAGGGGAAAGAAATAGCAAGAAATTCAGAAAAGAAGACTCTGCTTGGGTATTATGAAAGAGTTTGTATTGGTGTTTTAAGAGCCAAAGCTGCAGGCGACTTCAACCTTAAGCAATTAATTCCTGACCTTGAGTGAAGATAAAATGAAAATAAAACAAAGTGGAATAACAAGCAAGAATGTGTATGAGACAAGATAAGGGATGATTGTGAGCTGCAATCAGTAACCAGTCAGAAGTAAAAGAATGGCTCGTGAACAGGTGGAATTATCCAATCATGTCAATTGTTTAGGCACGTGTGCGATAAGGGGAGATGAATCAAAAGTGAAAGAATGCCACGTGCTTGGGGCGTGCTGAAGGAAAAAAGGATATATAAGCAGTGCAAAGCTTCAATAAAGTGCTGATGCCTGAAGACATCTCGGTGTTGGTCATTTCATCTGCCACAAGTTTGTACTGGAAGTGTTGTAGAAACTAAAATAAGCAAGGAGACCATTTTATCCTCAGCTGCCTGGGAATGCATTCAGCAGTGTAAGTCACTCCACACTGGTGGATGTGGCAATTTTAAGAAGGCTCAGGATCTGGAAAGTCAAAGCTAAAAGGGCTAAAAGACAATGAGGCTTTCTCTGTCTGTCACCTGTTTCATATTGGCTTCCAGTTCAACCCTGCCCACTCTAAAACTACTTTTCCCTTTTTTCAGGGAGATGTTATCAAAATAAGGATAGATCAGTGTCTTCATCTTTCCTTTTATGATTTCTTGCAGAATTAACTCAAACAATGTGCATTCAGTTTAACATCTGCTGAGCTACCTCAGCGCTACTGAAAGCAACCATACTGTGAAACTAACACTTGTGTAATGAGTCGAGCCAAAATGAGATGTAAAACATCATTTTCTGCCCTAGACTCGCCAACTTCTGTTAGAAGCACTGCTGCCTTCCCAGTGAAAGTCCTTTCTGTATGAATGAGTATCATGTCTGTAAAAATTCCAGATTTGTACCCGAGTTAACTCTACAGTGAGGTTCCCTTAAATGACAGATATCATGAATTAATTTTTAGTAGTTTCTTTTCATTACCAACCTGCATTGATTATTTTTTTCACTCATTCGGTGATTAAATACAATAACTACAGCCTTAACCAATGCTTCCTCAGTATTCTTTCTTAGCAGACTGTATTAATTTTGACTGTGAAATCTCAGAGCGGCTAGAAAATAGTAGTCTCATGCAGCTGTTATGAAATCTTAAAAAAAAAAACCAAAACACAGTGGCAGTAAAGGGATTAATTAGCTGTGTTTTTGGAAATTTCATACGTTTTGAAATAGTCTGTTATATATTTTTTTTTAATAGGATATATCTAATGAGGAAATTCTCTTAGCAAAATTGAAAGAAAAAAGCAAGCAACTGGAAAAAACCCTGGAATTTAAGAAGACAGAAGTGCTGAAACTCTTAGAAAAGAAGTAAGAATTACTAGACCATTGGATTTGATCTTTTTGTTAAACCTGCATCAGTGTTTTCTGAGGGAATTTTCCCCCAATATTTAAGAAGAAGCAGCCAAATTCTATAAAGTATGTGAATCATGTAATAAGAATGTTTCTATTGACTTCAGTGGGCATGTGGTAAAGACTTGGAGGAGAGCTGGAGTTAATCTAAATTAGCCATCAGGGAACAAATATTCACAAACAGCGCCCTTTGGACTAGAGTTATACTGTTATTCTAACAATATGCACGGTAGGAAACTCAGTCATTGCTCCCTGCATGTGCTATCATCATCCTATCAGCTGGGATACTTACATTTGCTTTGGCACAGATTTCTTCTTCTATATGTTCCCTGAGATGCAAAGCATTGCAAATGATGTGAATAAGCAAAATAATCCAAATATCATTCTATGGGCTTGGAATAATTCAAGACTCTTCCTGGTGATTCCGACTTCTTTTTTAAACCCATTTCCCTCTACAGTGTTGGGTTTTTGGTTAAACTCGATGATCTTAAAGGTCTTTTCCAACCAAAACAATTCTATGATTCTATATAAACTGAGCTAAGAATCCCTACAAAGAAGAAAATGAGAGTTCTTGGAAACTTAGGTAAAATTTTTGCTCTGAACTCTGCTATTTTTCTTGATGGCGGAAGTAATTTATTAATGTCATAGAATCACAGAATGGTTTGGATTGGAAGGGACCTTAAAGCTCATCCAGTTCCAACCCCCCTGCCATCAGCAGGGACATCTTCCACTAGATCAGGTTGCTCAAAGCTTCATCCAACCCGGCCTTGAAACCTCCCAGGGAGGAGCAGCCACAGCTTCTCTGGGCAACCTGAGCCAGTGTCTGACCACCCACACAGTGAAGAACTTCTTCCTAATATCTAATCTAAACCTCCCCTCTTTCAGCTTAAACCCATTTCCCCTTGTTCTGTCATTAACTGCCCTTATGAAAAGTGCTTCCCCAGCTTTCCTGTAGCCCCTTCAGGTACTGGGAGGCCACTATAAGATCTCCCCGGAGCCTTCTCTTTTCCAGGCTGAAAGACATTTCACTATGTCTTAGTGAAATGAATGTTACAATTAATAAGCAATGTAATTATTGTAAGAAATGAGCTGCAGCCAGCATCTGACTGTGACTCTTGATCATGTAGGTAGTAATAAATTGCTTATCTTTATTTTCCTAAGAATCAACTTCAGTAGGAATATTTGTGCTAGGGAAGTTGACTATACTTATGTTTTGAGGGTCCAAATAGTTATGACCTGGTGATGACCACAGACCTGTAGTTTATGGTCAGTTTCATAGCCTGAGTGCAATAGAAACATTGTTTGTTGTTCTTTTTATGCTGTATTTTTCTATCTGTGAATGTCTTTAATTTAGAGACTTTGTCCTTCATAACTCATTCCACTATTTGATATAACAGATGAGTTAGGGAGTTGAGTTAAAGAAAGGATCTGGTCAATGTATTTTTTCCTTCACAATGTTTGGCACATACTCCCAAAGCGTGCTCAATGTGGATTTCTGCTTCTATATTTGTTTACTAAGAAACTACTAGGGTGCTGGAGCTTTCTCTCTCTTTTTTTTTAATTTTTATTTTTTCTAGTTGATATCCTCTTCTCTGTATCAGATTTCATTCTTCAAACACTTATTTAGATGGGTTTATGCTTCTTGCATGACTCCTGGTTTGTATAGAAGATAGAAAAAGGGAGCATCCTGTGTTCTGACTATATCCTATAAAACATAAAAACACACAATGTCCATCAGAAGCAAGAAAGATAAATCTGTGCTCAGATTTTCTCATTGTAACCTGTAGACCTGTTGCTGGCAGGACTTATCTATCTGAAAGCCTGTCTGCTTTCTCCTTCTGTACTATTTCTATCAGTTTGTCTTTAGAAAATATTGCCTCTCCCCACAAGCCTTCCTTGGCTTGTATTTTAAGATCTTGCAATAGAAAGCTTGCTAGTTCTGTACGTCCTTACCTTCTTTGCAGACTTTATTCTCATCAGATACATTAGAGGAAAGTAATGAATAAGGATATCTGAATGGAATAGAGCTCAGATGTATGCAGACATTCATGTAGCTTATCTTCACAAGGGGCCTGAGAATAAGAATGTATATTTTTTAATAGTTTTTAAAATAATGTTTTTGTTCATATGCTCCTAAACATATCTGCATTGGCTTTGTTTAATAGAATTCAGCTTGATTCTGAGTTACTGCTTTTACAATCAAAAATTGCCAAAGAAAAGGATGATTTTGATAAGGAACTTGAAAAGGTAAGAGAGGTATTTTTATTCTGGCTCAGAGTTTTTACTGGGGCTTGTCTTGCTGAAACACTCAATGAGAAGAGGCCTGCACAAAATGCAGCGTGAGGTGCTTTAAGTGCTTTGATTTGCCTGTGCGTTCTGATGGGTGCAAGCAAGGAAAAGGGGCACAAATATTTGCAGGGCCTACAAGAAAGCTGGAGAAGGACTTTTTATAAGGGCAGTTAATGACAAAACAAGGGGAAATGTGTTTAAGCTGAAAGAGGGGAGGTTTAGATTAGATATTAGGAAGAAGTTCTTCACTGTGAGGGTGGTGAGACACTGGAACAGGTTGCCCAAGGAAGTTGTGGATGCCCCCTCCCTGGAAGTGTTGAAGGCCAGGCTGGATGAGGCTTTGAGCAACCTGGTCTAGTGGAAGATGTCCCTGTTGATGGCAGGGGGGTTGGAACTGGATGATCTTTAAGGTCCCTTCCAATCCTAACCATTCTGTGATTCTATGACATGTAGCCTCTCCCTTTTACTCAGGCTCTGGAGGTTGTGCTAGAGATAGGGGCAAGTTCTGCTCTTCAGCTGAGACCATGGGCTGATGGGGAAAGGCTTAAGGTGGGGTGAGCTTGAGGGTGTGGTCTGGTGAGCTGGGATGCAAAGGAACAGAGGGTTATGGGGTTAGGATGTTGATTTGGGAGGGAGTATATATGCAATAAGACAATGGGGCAGACAGATGTGTGTAGCAGGATTATGGGGACATTTGTCAACAAGAATGAGGTTGGGTTCCTGGTCTGTAAAGCTGAGTGTGTGGTTTTCATAAGCATTCTTGGTTTTTTACATTATTATTAATTTTTATTGCATGTGGATAAAAGCTAATTAGTGGTGGCACTCCATCTGCTGAGCCTGTGAAGGAACACCAGCTGCCTGAGATTATCGTTGTTATGTAGACTACGCACACCTATCAGGTGTCGTTTCCTAGTTATGTTCACAACCTCTCCTCCAGAGGTGCACGTATCAAACAAGATGGTGGTCCATTAAAAACTCTGTCACACTGACATTAAAGCAGCACTAGATGGGAGCCACATTCTCCACATGCCATGGCCAATCCACCTTCTCTTTTACTGCATTCCTATCACCAAAAGCCAAGACCCAAGTCTTCATCTTCCTTTTTCTCCTTCATCTTTCTGCCCTTGCCTCTTTCAGACAGGACCCATGACTCCTAGTTCCTCCACCCTGATACTGTGTGCCCACCACCCCAGTGTTCCTTCATTGTCACACCTTCCCTATTCCCACTTGATCACTCTGTGTAGTCCACACAGTGGAAGTCACTACCTCCAGATGGAGCCAGTTACCACGTGTCTGGGAGTAGCGCACGGCTCTCAGGCTGTTTCAGAGCGGTTGGTTGAATGAGGTCATGGAAGATCCAGAACCATGATCCTGATGTGATATCCATATATGTTAATTGCATATCTTCTGGGAATCTTGCTTCATTATAAAGTCCTCTAATATTTTTTTTTTCTGAAAGGTCCTATAGCAGTATTTAATGTTATTAGAAGGTAAAACAGCAACAGAAATTTTAACCTAACATCTGCGGTTCTTATTTCTAGACTAATGAAGATCTAAGCAATGCTAAGCACCTGAATAAAAAACTTCAACTGGAAAATAAAGCTGTGCACCAAAAGCATGAACAAGCACTGGAAGAAGAACAACACTGGGCTGGAGAAAGGGATGAGATGGTGGCAAAGTAGGTTTTACCTGTCAGCTTTGGAATACAGCTTTTTTGAAGTCTGTGATTTTATGAATAAGGCTTTTCTTGCTACATAAATAGATCATTTCTGACAAAGTATCTAACTTCCTTCTTTTTTCTTCTGATAGATTGCAGAAATTATCTGTTTTGGTGGATGAAAAGCATGAAGTTCTGGCAAATCTTATAAAGAAAACCAAAAACCTAGAGAAAAATATTGAAAATCTTGAAGACAGCCTACTGTATGTAATCTTTCAATATTGACAACAGTAAATGTTCTCCGTACTGTTTACTCAGGAGTTCAGCTGGTTTAGAAATTCTGAAATGTAACATTCAATAGGGAAGTTAAATGGGTTTATGAACAATACTGTTAGGCTGGTAAGAATCTTCACACAACAAAGAGGTTAGCTGCCAGTTACCCTCATTTAATTTGCAGTTTCTTATCATCAAGCAACGAACATACAAATAATGAAGAATATTGAAGCAGTGCAGGATGTAAAACTTCAAACTGATTTGACTGTGAGCTAGACACTGTAGTACCAAGTCTTGGACCAAACCACAACTCATTTGTGTGGATATCTAAGAAAAATCTCCTTTTACTCAGATAAATCTAATAAGCACAAAGTTGCCCTGTGCACAGAAGTGCTCTGAAAAATGTCTTTGTCTTGTGTAGTCTAAGCAGAGCAGACATCCTGTGCCCTGTGCAGTGGGGTATGGCTGGGAGGAGCGTTGCCAATGAACTGCAGCTCTCTGTTAGCCTGTAGCTGGTGGAAGAGATTTGGGATTTTGCTGCCGTAGGGAAGGGCAGGCATGTGTGTATTGACCCCAGATATCCAACATTGGACCCAGTTCACCTATTTGCTAAAGAATCAAGAGATTAAGGCTTTATACTGTACACTACTAACAACTTCTGTCATTTAAGAAGAGTAATCCTGACAAAAGGGAGAGCTTTTCTTTTCCTCTCTGCTGGATTTTCATTCTTTGTAATAGAAAGTAAAAAGGTTCAACCACTTAGTCTTACATCCCCCAAACCTACCAGAGCCAAATATTTGCACACGCTCTGTGTTTTGAGTGACACCAGTTGTCCTGGTTCTATGCAACATTTTCGTGGTTGCTGCTAAAAAGAAAGCAGCCATGCACTGCTGAAGAGGAGGAGAACTTGTAACAAAGTGCAATGGAGTCTGCAGTATAAAACTAAGTTAACAAGATTATGAGGTGAAATAATCATCACATAGTTTCTTGATGTTAATTGGATATCTACACTAATGGTAGTAAAGAGTTGTAAGAGCTTTCTCCCAGAGTCAATCAACTCCTAATTTCGGACTTTTAAACTAGACTACATGGAACTGTGCAAAATGCATCGCAGCTCTGACCTCGTAGAAAAACTGATTGAAAAATCCCTTTTCCCCAGTCCATGTCCCTGCACTTTCCTAGGTTTTTATTTTATGTTTCTACATAATTATCTTTTTCTGTGAATTTTCTCTGGCTTCATAACATCCCTCTACATCAAACCCAAAATAATTTAATTTCAGTGTACACCACACAGACCTCCCAGTCACTTTAACAGGGCCACCAAACTGGACATCAAAATCAAGATGTCTTGTTTATTTTTATTTTCTCTAAAAGTAATAAGCAATGTCTTCAGGATCTCACCATTCACCTTATAAGAAAGTCTGATTTTATTTTATTTTATTTAAATGACTGATTTCAAATTAAGTCTGTCAGGTTTCATTCAAAGAGGGCAATCTTCAACTGATTAAACCCACTTAACTGAGAAGCCCACCAACTTGACAACAGTAGACATAGTTTTGGAAAGTATGGAATGGAACTAGTATGATTTTTCAGGGGTACCTAAGAATTATTTGGGACACATTCTGTCCCTATTGACATGTCTTACTGTACTGGCTTGATACATTTAGCTTTACATTTGGAATAATAAAAACTTTGGAAGAAAACCCCATACGACCTCTTTGTAAATCCTCACTGGATTTGGGGTGGGTGCTTCCCACCACCTTTATGTCTTGAAGGAGTGAGAATCATTGGTTTCACACTACCAACCTTTTTTATTGTATTGAACTCTCCTAGCATGTGTTGGATACATATAAATGTAAACACATTTTAAACACACTCTAAACACATTTTAATATTTATGACATATGATACACTAGAAAACACATACTAAGAAATTCAAATAAATTGATTTGTCCATCTGGACAGAAGTTCTACTTCTGAAAATACTCTTGCTACTAATACATTAGAGTAATTGTTCATTTCTTGAAACATCTGGTCTCGTGTTTTGTATTTTTTAATTGTTTCTGACTTGAAAAAAATACTCCTGGATTTACCTTGGTTCCTAACAAAAGCCTCTTAATTTTAAACTGATGTTTTCAACCTGAGAAACAACAATGTGCAACACACAGCTATGGTTGAACGCTATAGGATGCATATGTTTTTGAGATGTGACCCACAGGTACCATATTGCCTTTCTCCAACTACTGTAAGTGCTTAGCACGTTGGTTGGTAGGAAGGAAGTTCTGAAAAAAGTGTACTAAAAATTTGACATGAACTAAGTGCTCTGCAAATCTTCAGCATTATTTCTCAAAGATTACCTTTTTTGGTTTTTTTTCCCCCAGAAATATCAAGAAGCTCTATGCAGAAGAGCTGGCATCTCTAGAGCAAGATTTGAAGACAGAAAATAAGACGAGGTAGGATAAAGTAGAAAATGTGCATTCTATCTTTAAAACAAAGCAGCAACTTAATGAATTGCTGTATCTTGTTGCTGCTATCATATCAGAGGTATAACCCCAAAGCCTCAACTATATAAATATTCAGTGATATCATGGCAAATAAAAGGGCATCTCCTCAGATATACCTATGGTTTCTTTTGAATAGTATTGCTATACTGCCAAGTGGTAAAAACTGCTGAACTTTGTGTACAAACGGCTTTTGATCATTATGACAGTAAAAATTCTACTTTATTTTATAAGTTATTTGGGATTTTTCCAGGATATGAATACTTACATAAACTGTAAAACTGTTTGAGTTCTTTTTATTATTTCAAATAATTTAAATTAATGCTCATTGGTAGCTGATCCCACACCTTTGAGGTCAGTTAGAACTTTGCCATTGAATTCAATGCAAAAAGCGTGCCCTAGTTCCCTGCAGTATCAAGCACCCATAGGTCCAGCTAGGAAGTATGGGAGTTTTGTGTTCTCAGCACTTTTTCAAATCAGGTCATCAGACTGGTGGGATCTGGAGTTCCAGCTGTTATATAGATAAACCCTTTGTCAGAGTCAGTAAAAATGAGATTTCCTTGCATTTTCAGGACATTTCATCATTCTTCCTTGGACTTGGATATTACTCACTAATTTAACAGTGTCTTCTACTGAATCTGTCTTTTGAGGAAAACTTTGGAGAGAATTGTAAAGAGCATGTTACACAAAGGTCACAAAAAGACTAAGGGTTATTTTATGTATATTCAGAATATCTGCATGAAGTACTTTGCATCACTCTTCATATATGCACACATGTCTATCCACAGTGGTGTGAGGTACCCAGAGAAAATGCCTTGAGTTGGATAAATCTAAGTGAATGACTGTAGCTGGAGTTAAAGTGAGAGTGATATAAAGCTTTCCTGCTGGTTTTGAATTTCTCAACAGCTGCCAGATTTTAATTTAAGTTCTTGGAGTTCTGGTCACACTGTTTGTTTAAAATCAGTTTCATTTATCTGGTTCTTGAGGTGCACACCAATATAGAGATACCTTATTTTCAGAGCATTGAGACCTATGTACTTGATAGGAGTTTTTTTCTTCCATGAATCCCTCCTTGTATGTGATGCTTCTGGGATTTGTACCTCCTCTTTATTATAAGCAAGAAAAAGAAGTGGATTCAGGGAAGCGTTTAGCCCTCTACAGTTGTTAGGATACTCTCTAAAATAAACCCATGGATGAGCTACTTCACACTAGCTCTGCAGCTCTGACTTCTCATTTGATTATTCTGTCATGTAAGGCATAAAGAGATCTGGAGATTCCTTGGTCATCTAGTCCAGTCTAATTCTCCCCTGAATATTACATCATATTTTTGCCTTCAGTCATGCTTCATTCAAAAAACCATTGTTGCTTTCTCCCCTTACTCTCATTAAGATGTCATTCTAAAATCTTACTCTTTTGATGACTAAGAATCATTTTTTTCCTGACCTTCAGTCTGTATTTTCACATAGAGAAGTAGTTTCTTTTTCATTTTGTACCAGGGTTGTCTTTTATTCTTTTCAGTTTACAAAGCCTAGTGTTTTATCAACGTGAAATATTGTCCTTTCCAACCTTCCAATTTGCAAAGCTAAATTAACCACATTATTTGGTATAGACTTCTCTGCTAACTAATTTTAAGCACATCACAGGGAAACTTAAGTGAAACTAGTCACATTAAGACTTCTCCTTCAGGTCCAGTACAGAGAGGCAATCTTAAAAGTTTTAATGTTTTTTCATGCATCCCTCCTGGATTTTGTCAGGATCCTAGACTACTATTGGAATCACTTTGATTGTAATCCTGAAGTTACAGGAGATATGTTTGAGTCTTTCAATCATTTAAATTAGGCTTGCAGTGCCTCATATAATGTTGTCTCCTTTCTCTGTTTTTTCTCCCAATTTCAATTTATTTCTGCTTATATCTGTCACCAGAATAAGGCTTCAGTGGAAGCTCCTGTACTTAGCAGTGCAGAGAAAACTCTTTTTCTCAAAGGAGGAGAAAATAAACAGAAAACTGAATGAAAAACTAGAGGCTGGCAAAAAAAGGCATGCTGAACTACTTCTGCAGGTATGTTAAACAGCAGGTACCATAACCCCTTACATCCAGTGTTATGGTATGTTCATGCTGTATATAACCTGAGTAAACTGGTACCTAAGTAAGTAGCCTCCAAGGGGCAATTCTTTCTAAGCTATTAAACATGATATCATGATCTAAAGATCTTCAGTATCTACAGATCTAAACATCTCAATTCTTGGAGATATTCAAAAGCCATTTGGACATGGTCCTGAGCAACTAGCTCTAAGTGGCCCTGCTTGAGTGGAGAGTTTGGACAAGATGACCTCCAGAGGTCCCTTCCAACCTCAGCTACTCTGTGATTTTGTGATCTGATTTTAACTCCTATTAATAACAATTTTAAAGCAATTATTTATCTTAGCAGGTGTTGTGTTTTGAGTGCAGATTGCTCTCATTTTGCTTCAATGTGTTATTTCCAAGTGGTCCAGGTAAACATTATGTATTTCAGAAATCACTGACCTTCATTTTTCTTTCCATTTTGAGAATGAAGACCTTGAGAAAAAGATTTTTCAGTGTAAGAACCAAGTCAAAGCCCTAAGTAAAGAAGCGAGCATGAGGGAAAATTATTACAGGAATTATAAAGAGGATATTACTAACAAAATAAAATGTCTGGAGGTAAGTTTTGTTGTTCTCTTTATTAACCTTGGGAAGATTTCCGATGGATGAATTGGCAGTGTTTGTTGCACCTTATTGCAACTATGCTCATTGGAGCTTTGCTGAAATGTGACCCATCTGTCAGTAACTGTTTCAAGAAAATTTGCTACTTTTCAGGTTGATGGTATTGTGGTGTTTTTTTGTTTTTGTTTTTAGTCCTCAAAAGAACTTAAGACTCTCAGATTGAGACACTGGAATCAGTAAATACCCATAAATATATATATGCATATATATATTTGTGTACATATGGGCATATATGTTGAAAGAATGCAGTGAAGTTGTTCCTTAGAAGGGATGCCTCCCACTTTAAAATAGGAATATGTGCAGGACCAGATTCAGTCCTGAGATGTGTCCAGTTTAGATCTGTGTAACCTGCAAATGTAGAATTTGTTTCATCATTTTTGGGTAAACAGGCCAACGCTCAAAGAAACATGACAGCTTGATTTGAGACACTGGTCAAATTCTCCTCTGAATGATTGTTGATGACTGATGGTGCACAAGATATAACCCAGGGCTACTTAGTGTCCGTGTTCTTTAAAACACTCATGAGCTTTCTTTCCTAAAGAAAGTAGGACACTGAAATGCTGAATGTGAACTCAAAGATTTCAAGCGCTTCTCCAGTCTTTGGTCTATGACATATGCTCTATCCTCAGGGAAACTGTCTTACTCTTGGTCAACAATCTGGTTTGAGACAAGATAAATCAGGTGCCAGGAGCATAGGAAATATCCTGTTTGTGTATCTGACCTTAGAAAAGGTACATTTACAGAAATCCCATATCATGCAAGACAGTTATGGTCATGTAACTGCGCAAGCTTCCCTAAAAATCAGGGCTGAGACAGTCACTGCTAAGTAAACAATTGTGCTGGATTCATTCTCATGCTCTTTCTGGCAGTTGAGCCCTGCAGAATATACAAAAGAGATGCTAAATATACCTTGACACTCTCTGTCCTTTTTATTTTTTTTTAATGTGACCCATTCTAAAAGACTGTTTCCCTTACCTAAAATAGTGCTGATGAAATTGTTATCAGAGGTTTACCCTTTCATTTGTGGCCTGGACAGAACCAGGCTGAAAATGCAGTTATAACTGTTTATTTCCATTCAGTGACACACTCTAACATTTTCTCCTTTTTTAACTATTTTCCGCTTTGCTTTAATTTCCTACCATTTTGATGAAACAATTGAAGTTGCTTTTTTTTCTTCCTCATTTTGCTTTTGGAGCTTTCAGCATTTTCTTGCACCATACTCATCTGCAAAATGATTCTGTCTGAATGCTACCTCATGGAGGTGGTCTGTGTAAGGGGAATAAATTCCTTTATAAGAGTCATGTCAGGTCAGGTTCATTCTGTTCTGTCTAGAGCAGCATGGTGATGCATGATATCAAAGTAATCCACAGAAATAAGACTCAGATCACCTTTCTTTTCTGTCCACCTTCTTCACTTAGTTGTTTCTGCCAAGGGAACCATTTCTTCTGTTCCACTCCATATTTTCCTGTTTTTTTTCAATCTTTTTATCTATCCATCCTTCCACTGCAAAACCCAAACCAAAACAAAAAAAACCATCTCATGAGCCTATCTAAACATCTATACTTTGAGGTTCTCTGATATTTCTAGTCTCTGAGCACTGGAGTGGATATGACTTAAGTGACTTCAGAGTCTCAGAGGGAACACAAACATGTAGTGCAGCATTTGACATTGATGTCCTGTAAAAAAGCAAGTTCAGAGTCCTGGTGTTATTTCACATCCTGGGCCCAGTTTCATTTCCATGTGTGGCTTTATTTCCTGGGTGTCATCTCATCTCTCTCTTAATACTGTTCTTCAAGTCTCCCAGTCTATTTAGATTGTTCCTATTCTCCCTTTCTGTGTTTTCACCTTTTGCAGCAAAAGAGATGTATTTTTCCACTAAGAAGTAATTTTACTCTTGACTTGTGTTTCTTTGCCCTAACCCAGATGAAATTCCACTATGCTGAGAGATGTACATACATAGAATTGACTTTTTTTTTTTTGCTCTAAAACCAAAGGTCAGATTTTTTTAAAGCTAAGGAATGAGACAGAGAAAGATTAGACTGTACAGATTTGCAATGGTATTTAGGTGATGATCTGCTTAGTCTTTAAGACATAATAGTTGTGCTTCCCCGTGGTGATATAACAGAGCACAAAGACTCCCAGGCTGGTAAGTCAGTGCAGCCCTGTTACAGGGCGACATACAGCTCAGATCCAGAAGCAGTGTAGTTACTATTGTATTAAACAAATATTAGTATGATTGAAAAAATATGCTTATAGCTGGGCATGAACCAACAACATGATTCAGGTCAAGCCACAGAATGACACGCTGATAGGAAAGGACATGTGGGATAACATGAAAACACTCCATATTTATGGTAAGAAGAAGAAATATTTAAGTTTGTTTTGCTTCACTGGTGGGTCAGCAGAATCAAATGCCTAGTATACTAATGCCAGCATCAGAAAACATTCCAGGCAAGGACACAAAGGAACCAGTTAGCAACTGTACCTAGAGAACTTGGCTGCTTTCAGATTGTCTATGAAATTAACCTTCAGCTAGTTAAGGGGCTGAAGTAATTTTGGTGCTATTAATGATTAGATTCAAGTGCACATCAAGAATTGGTGAAGCTCAAATCAAACTCAGTTCCCCAAATAACCATACTGGGTAAGACACAACGTTGGTCATACCAGGAGCCTGTCTTCTGCAGTGATCAATAGTGCTGCATGGAGAAGTAATGTGAGAACAGTCAAATCTAGAATGACCCTTCTTCTGTAACATCTCCATGACAAATGAAGTGTCAGGAACTTCTTTGGATGGAGATGATACCTGCATTTAATAGCTTTTGATGGAATGTTGTGCTGGATCTTTAGTACTCTATTCTCTTATCACTGATTCTTTTAGCTCACATATACATTTATCCTCTGTAACAACCTGTAACATATAATTTATTTGATAAGGACTAGAATTTTCTTTTGTTTTAAACTTGCTGTCTCAAAAGTTTATTGGAATATTGCAATTTTTGTGTTATGAGAAACAAGGAATAACTGTTGTCTTCTCCAGCAAAGGTGTGTGACTTTACACACCTTTATTGTGTGTCTGTCTTTTCAGTTGTCTCTTTTCCAGGCTGAAAAATCCCAGGTACAACACCAACGTGAAAATCATCCTAAATAACAGTTACCCATGATTTACTGACAAGACAGAGTAATGATCCTAGTTAGTTTGTGGGAGGTCTGCTCTCAGACTGGAATTAATCTGTAATTTTTTTCATGACTCGGGTGACAGGATAGAGCAAATACTTCTCCTGTCTGCACATGACAAAGATGACAAGAGTGGGAGCACCCTCTGCAGGGCAGAACTAGAATTCAGAATATTTTTAGCAAGTTCGAGAAATATTTTTTGGGGAAAAAAGACCATAATTAAAAAAAAAACCCAAAACATATTTTTTGCATTTAGGCAGAAACAGTTGTCTACAAATCCATCGTGAGGAAGGCGTTTAAGCAGTAATAAATAGGACTAAGGCTGACAAGTTGAACATAAGTCAGCAAAGATTTGTAGTAATGAAAGAGGCAACTGTCAAACCAGTCTGTATAAAGAGGCAGATACTCTGGCAAGGCTTATGATGTAAGTTTTCTATTCTACCTAGTTTTGGTAGGACACAGCTTGAATACAGTGTCTGATATTGATCATCTCATTTAAAGGAGGATGTAGATTTATTTTGAGATCAAAGAGGAAGGAGTTCAGTAAGGTGCAGGGAAAAAAAAAAAAGGTTGAGGAAATATGCAGCTTTTCTATTTAAAATGGATAAATCTAAGAGAAAACATGGTAGTAATTACCAAATGAATAAAAGTTGATAGCAAGATCATAGAATCATATCATAGAATCATGGAATGGTTAGGATTGGAAGAGACCTTAAAGATCATCCAGTTCCAACCCCCCTGCCATCAGCAGGGACATCTTCCACTAGACCAGGTTGCTCAAATCCTCATCCAGCCTGGCCTTGAACACTTAAACCTTAAACACAAGATGATAAGATTTTTCTCCTTGTCCACTTGTTGAGACAAACAATGGAACAGAATAGATTTCAGAAAAAGGTGGGCCTGAAGAAAGCACTGACAGCACAAAGAGTAAAACCCTGGAATCAGTTGTCTGAGACATTGGTATCTCTACCACAAGGGTTTTTAAGGACAAATCAAACATCTGTCATGGGTACTTAGGTCTAATTGATTCTGTTGTACACCAGAGATGGACTAGGATGACCTTTTGGGATCACTTCCAGTATTATTTTCTCTGGGGTTTCTTTTGGTTTTCCTTCTAGATATGTTGAATTATTTATGCATTAAATGCTGCTTAGATAACTTGATTAATATTTAGTTTCATTAAAGAATGACATCAAAACTGCAACTGAAAATCTGCTTAAAAAAGAACAAGAATTAAACACAAGCAGGCTAACCTTGGAAGAAACCCAGAGAGAAAAAGAAGAGAAGCGTACAAAATATGAAGAACTGGAAAAATCATTTTTAAGTAAGTATGAAGTAGCTCCTCTACATAGCAGGGCTTTCTCTTGCTGTTTCCAAAAATGGCATGCCACAGCCCTTTGTCTGCCTACGGCTCAGGTGAACTATGAACCAAGTATAAACAGAGCTCAGGTTGGCCATGAGGAAAAGGTTCTTGAGGCAGAAGGTGGTGGAGCACTGGAACAGGCTCCCCAGGGAGGTGCTCATGGCACCAAGCCTGACAAGATTCCAGCAGCATTTGGCCAAGGCCCTCAGACACATGGTCTGAATCTTGGGATTGTCCTGTGCAGGGACGGGGGTTGGACTCCATGATCCTTGTGGGTCCCTTCCAACTCACAACATTCTATGAGTCCTTGCAACAACTGGAATCTATAGACATGGCCATAACACAAATATAAAGCATTTTTTAAAAATGCCAAAACAGTTAAACTGATCACTTACTGATAGATTCTAGTTTTCTTAATAATGGCTTAAGTCCAATGTTCAGTCATTGCACTGTCTGAAAACCCTTTCTCTGCTTTATAGAAAAGAAAGATGAAGAGCTGAGAGCCAGAAGAGCCATTCAGCAGTCAATCAAAACTACTGGGAAGCTCAGGGAGGGCACGGTAACAGCTTAAAACTTAGCTGTACTACTTCTGCAAAGTTTCCACCACCAGTTTTGTTTCCTCCCAGTAAAGAACAGGCACCTATGGAGACCAGGACTGGGGGAAGATGGGCTGGGGCTGAGGACTTACCTTCTCTCTGTTGCTGTGTTCCCATCTAGGGGATGTCTCAGACCTCAGCTCAACCTGTAACCCAGTGTTTATACCAAGCTGCCTTTGTGCTTGATTTTGCATTCCTTAGGCACGTGAGCAGGCCAAAACTAAGCTGGGGAACCAGGACCATTTGTGAACCTGCTTCTGTTCAGATGCTTGCTGCTGCTAGGGCAGTATTTCTGCCACTTCACTAACTCGTCATTGAAAAATCTTTCTGTATCCTCACCTCTTTACCTCTCTTTCTGATTTCTGACTTCAGGCATTCAATCAGCACCAGTGTGAGGAGGGATTATCTTGTACAGCTCTGAGGGTAGTTGCAGCAGTTCCAAATGTCTGAGGCATGGTGCATCTGCTGCTCCCAGTGTCCCCATGGAGCTTGCCCAGTGAATGCTGCCTATCAATCAGCCACCCTCAGAGCTGCTGCAGCTGATGAAACTGAGCGTGGTAGCCACAGTGCATGTCAGACCTGCTGTGCCTGCGCTGGCTGTTTTTATGGTACATACATATCCAGTCCCACTGGGGCCATTTCCTTAGAGCTGCTGGGCATCAGGCTGCCTGGCCAGAGGTTGCTTCAGCTAGGCTGGGCTGTACATCCAACAATCGGGTTGGTTTTGCTTTGTTTCTCTGCCAGAGCAAAACTTTTAGGTGGAAAAAGGACACAGTCACACCTTCTGCTGTTAACAGGAAGAATTAAAGTGTCTTTAGTTACCAAGAAGCATAAGACAAGCTCAATAAACTACATAAAGGGCTCTGTTATGAGGCTGATGAGATTGCAGGATTCATGCCCAAGTGGTCTGGTAATGAGCAAATCTCTCTGATGAGCTCCATAAAAGCCACATCAACACAGAAATTGTCCCTGTTCAGAGAAGGGAGACCTATTTCTCCAACCATATAGGAACAGGAATAGCACAACAAAACAATTGTGTACACCTGAGCCTCCAGTGACAGAAAAGTGATGCTCCTGTCATTGGGTGACCCTGCACCAGGAGGGTCACTTCATGTCACAGCTGCTTCCTTTCTTGTGGACAATGAACAACCACACCTCCTCTCTGTGTCTTCATAAAATCATAGAATGGTTTGGGTTGGAAGGGTTCCTCCTCCTTGGTAAGAGTGCACAGATACCTGTCTCAGATAGTACTTTGACTTTTTTACATGAAAGGTGCCATATAACAAAAACTCTTTTTACTTTATTTAATTACACAAAGCCTATATAAAGGATTTACAGTGAAGAATTTATTATTAACAGCTGGAGCTGAAGAACAAATTGCGGATCAAGCGCGCTACTGCAACTGACCAACTGAAAAATCACACAGAGTGTATGAAGCTGCTGGAACGAGACATCTATGAGATCAACAGGAAACTTGACATTGTGAACAGCGAGAACTGCAGATTCAGATCAGTGAGTATATTGAAACTTGACAGCGTTCCTTCTCAGTATGAAGTTCTCTGTTCATTTTTAATTTCACAGAGAACTAGCCATGGAAGATGACAAAACATAAACAGCACAGGGCAAACCTGGCCTTTTGAATGAACATGTGGAGCTGTGTTTACTTCGAGAGGAATATCCAAGGGCAAGGCATCTCCCTTGGGCATAATCAGTATTGTCTACCTGCTGCATCAGTCAGGGATTGCAGGACAAGGGCTTCCTGCCACATGAAGAGGGCTCACATGAATGTGAGATGTAGAATAGGCCCTGCAATTTGGAATATGCTTTTGAAAATAGTCTGTATGCCTTTCAGCTCCCAGGCTATCAGTGTAATAGAACCTCCTTCCCCTAAAACACATGAGGGATCCTAAAAGTGGTTTTATTGCCAGCTGTTAGCGGGCTGCCATCCAGACCCACATTTGTGTGGCCATGTGGACTAAATTTCTGCGATGATCTGAACCCTGTGCACTGTTTGCTGCCTGCAAGCTCAGGGCTCTACTGCTGCAAGGGCAGCTGCCCGGATCCCTGCGTGCTAGGGCTGCAGATGCTAGGTACCAGCTGCTCTGCAGCGTGTGGTCTGTCTGAGGATACTCCTAGGGAAACAAAGGCTTCCCTCAGAAAGAGAACTCTTGGTTACACTGCAGACATCCCTCTCCTTATGTTCAGCTCACTAAGAGGAGCTGAGAAGATGTGATTGTTCTGATGCCTATAACCCACCAGGCAGTGCTGTTTATTGTGCCTGACCTGGGTCACCTAACACATTTCAGCCAAGCCTGGGTCAGTCCAACCTGGGTACTGGCAGAGCTGATCCAACATGGAGTCTGTCTTATTTTGGGGGAGTGAGTGACTGACCTGGGTCACCTAACACATTTCAGCCAAACCTGGGTCAGTCCAGCCTGGGTACTGGTAGAGCTGATCCAACATGAAGGAGTCTGTCCTATTTTGGGGGAGTGAGTATGGAAGAGTTTCCCTGTGACCTGTGCTGCCCTGGCTCTTCTCAGCATCCTCATCCATTTTATTTGGTAGCACAGACATAGCTGGCTTGTGTTTGTTTTGGCAACAGTTAAAATGTGTTCAACAAGATGAAATGGATGTTGTTGTTGAGAGAAGGCACATCCACAGGAACACACTGATCTTTGTATTTCTGTAAGCTAAAACTCAGTTTATTCTTTCTGATCTCTTTAGAAACAGTGAAACTGGATATTATTTAGAAGCATTTTGAATAATGATGCAGTTGTAATTATTTTTTTCACAGCGCAATGCACAGATAAAAGGAGACATTTTTGCAATTAATTCTGAAGCAGAAAAACTCAAGTCAGCAACAGTCAGAATCCAGAATGACCTAGCAATGCTTCATGGTAATATATTACTAATGATTTTAAAACAAAAAAGTGACTTTTTTTAAAGAATATCTTTCAGTCCTTATATATATATATAAAATTATTATTTTTACCACATTTTAACTGTTGACTCCATTACAGATCTTCTTGTGAAGGGATGGTCAGAAGAGAGTTTAATTCAAAAGGTGAATTTCAATTTTCTATCCTACTGTTTTGCATAAATATATTTCACTTACCAGGTAAAAAATAAAATTTCATGTTGCTAATAAGGCACTACAATCTTTGAAATCATACAGGGGCAAAGTATTAAACCCCTGTTTTCCAGTATTCTATAGAAGACCTGGCTATAAAAATAATTTTTCCCAATTTTATTCCTTTTACTGGTCTTATATTCAATCCTTAAATCTGTGCAGTCTCCCTATATATAATAACACTGTTGCTGTTCTACAGTCAGGTCATCAGCCTTTTAATATTTTTCCAGTTGGGGACAAACAACTTTCATTTTGAACAGGAATTAAACCAAACTATCATGTAAGAAAATATTTCACCAGTTAGAAAGACAAACTTTTTTAAATTGTAAGGACTGAGTAGTTAATGAAAAATTCTGCACCTTCCTGCAGAGCTACAGGTGTGGTGGCCAATCAAGCTGTGGGAAAACAAGATAAAACAAGGTCCTTGGCATTTTGTGGGGATTTGGTTTTTTTCTTTTTAAGAAAAATAAATTCAACCCTGTGTCGTTACAGGAATTTCTGGAGAATGAGCAGGAAATACTGAATGCAATGACAGCTCTAAAAACAAAAATCGAACAACGAGAGGAAAAGATTGGTGATATTAATAGCAGGCTACAAAATAAGCTGGAAGAACTGAATTCTCTGTGTGTCAAAAAAATGTAGAATGGATGATCAATGTAAGATATTGATAAGAGAACTTATTTTCCACTCTTTTAAAAAAAAATTCCAAAAATGTAGAATGGATGATCAATGTAAGATACAGTAAGCTGATTTTCCACTCTTTTTAAAAAAAATTCATAGAATATGTTAATTCTTAGCAGTCTGTGATAAAACACAAGTAGTACAGCCATGTCATATCCAGTCACTCTGCTGGAGCTTGAGATTTCATGGTACCTTTATTAGAAGAACGAGGCATGTGTTATAACACAGCCTGGATATTATAATCTTTAATTTTCACTTTTTAAAAGGCTGTGATAATAACAGTGAGTGGGCTGTAAAATAGTCTGAGCATCACTAATCTTTCCAGAACTGTATGTCTGCTTTTCCACAAAGGATAAATAAAACTAGCAGACCCAACTCCCCCAGCTTGTGGTTTCATGGTTATCTCTGAAGGACTATGTGGTTAATTAATGTTTATGTTCTCTAGAATTTTACACACGGGAAATTCTTGCTGCCATTTCCATCTAAATGAACAATATTCTCTACAGCTAGGGGGGGTTTTTTTGGGTGGGGGTGATATTACACAGGAGCCCTAGGTGTGTGCAAGCCAAATCACTCGCTTCAGGTCCTCTTTTTAACTCTAATCCTATAGATTTCTGCTTTAATTGTTGGTTCTTAGAGGTTTTATTTGTAATGAGTCACAGGTTTGGTCACTGTATGACCATTGTCTTGTTACAGAATGTGCTTTTCAATCATATTAAAGCTGAAAGGCTACAGCATTCAGGCTGCTTTCAAATCTTTGAGTCTGGGTAATGTGACAGGAAGCCAGGGAGAGGAATGATGAATTTATAGAAGAAGGGAATGTCCCTGGAAGGAAGCCAGGTAGGGAGGGGAAGGATGATGAATGTATAGCAGAAGAGAATCTTGCTTCATCTGAAGGCCAGAGCTGGTATTATTTTCTGTGTGAAACATGCAGGGCAGGTTTCTTCCCAAGGAACCTGCACAAAAACATTGCTTGGTCATTCCAAACTGCGTGTATTTATCCAGCTGCATCTACCTAACTCTTTGGCTGGCATTACATTTTTCTTTAGGCTTGTGAGAGAAAAGTCATAGAAAAGAGTTTATTAAATTGTATTTTACATCTCAGGTTTTGCTGAAGGCCAAAGCACTGGAGCCCAGCAGGAGGGTCAGTGTTTGGTTATTCCGTGGGAGTCACTGCCTTCCTCTAAGCTCTGTTTGTAACAGAGTCCCTCAATCTGCAGCCTTCAAAATTAACACAGTTCTCTAGCTCTGTCAAAAGATGTACTCTTCACTACAGCTAATCTACCTGGGAGCTGTTACTTTTCTTTTTAAAAAACAATATATAGCCAACTTTTAAACCCAATCCATATCCATACATTGAAAAGAAGATAAAAGCATCCAGACCTCACTACTGCCCCTTTGCAAATGGCTTTTCCTGCCCGGTGCGACACTGGCTGCTCGCACACCTACTGTGCGTGTGCAGATGTGACAGCTGTGACAATTTAGACACAAAACTCTGTTTAGGACATTTTAAAGATAAATATACCTATGACTGTCAGCTATGGAAATGGTATTTTAACACAAGAGTTTTAACACCATACTTGTAAAACTGTCGTTTAAATTTGTGTGTCTGCAAATTTACTTGTAGCTGTATAGACAGAATTTATTTGATTTTCTGAAGGAGATCGATTACTTCCTTAATCCCTAGATAAAAACTTCACTTCTGCACGCAAGACCTAGTTTGCTTGCACACATTTTTTAGAAGCAGTGAACCTGTCAATTGGCATTTAACAGAAAAAAAAGCTATCAGGATCGGAAAGGCGTATCAGATGTAATGCAATCAAACCTTCTGTGGAGGGAGAGGAGAGTAAAGTCTCAGGGCAGCCTGGCCAAGATGACACCCCTCAAAGTCCCTGAGCTGCTGGCAAGCTCTGTCCTTAGCAGTGTTGATAGGCAATAGAATAAAAAAGGCATTACTGTCACACTTAAGTACAGAAATAGACACTGTTATTATTTGCATTGCTCAGCCACTGATCCATAGTGCAGGAAGAGTTTGAGAAGTTCTCCCTATTACTCTTCCCTCTGTGTTTGGACCTTCAGCACTGCTCTGCATCTTCTTCCAGACTCTCTAGAGCACTAAGTGACTGGTGACTGTCCCGGTTTTGCTAGGATAGCTAATTTTCTTCTTAGTAGCTAGAAAGCACTGTGTTTTGGTTTCAGTGTGGGATCTGTTATGAGAAGAATGTTGATAACGTACCAAAGACATCATGTTTGGGGAGTTTGTGAGTGCAAAGGACTGGGAAGCGGGGGTGAGGCGGGAGTGTAGTAATTAGCAAAACCCAGAATTGGCATTTGGATATGCCAATGAGATATTCCATATCATATAATGTCATGTTCAGTATATTAACGAGGGTTGACTGGTCAGGAGATACACTTTGTACAGGTATCTTCCTGTACAACACAGAGAGAAGACTAGAGTCTGTCAGTGGGTATTTGGCTTCAGCAAGGCAGCAACTAAGAAAAGAAAACCTTTAATCTGATCTTAGAAGAAAGTTCATAGCCAAGGTACAAGCAAATTGATTTAGTGAGAAGGATACCACTGATTAATCATCTCCAGGAAGAGGTGTCTATATGTGAAATACACAGAGAATAAACTCTACTTTATAGAGAGCTTTACAGTGCGTCTCCTCCCTTCTCCCCAGCAGCCAGACTGAAGCATCACGAGGAACCAGGCTCAACATTTTATTTTTTGATGGAAGGAAAACGAAAGTCTGGTTCCAGTGACGGGTGACAGAAGCTGCCAAGCTCTTATTGAAAGTCTCCTGAAAAACAGGCTCTTACTGTTTTATTCAAACAACACCTAAAATAGTGTCTTAGGAAATAAACATCTACAGCAAACTGCTGTACTAGAATGTGGCACCAGCTTTTTATGTAGATTCACAGTGATAAATCAACACAAAGACATTCCCTGTGACCTATACCAGATATTTACAAAGAATACAAAGGGAAGCTTTTTAATATCCTCCAGTCTCACTCCCAGGTGTTTCACCTAGAAGGCTTTGTACATAAATAACTTATTTCAAAACAGAAGGTTTCAAAAGCATAACAAGCACTAAAATAGCTTAATCCAGATCGTTAGGACAGCGTTGTTGGCACAGGCTCCTTTCAATGTCCATTTCCACCCTCTGAGAGTATGCGCGAGGGCTCGGTGTACTTCGCTGTCAGTATGTAGAAGAGGGCAGGTGCAGGTACCAAGGCGAGCAACGGGAGGTCCTGCTCAAGCTTATCCAGTTTGGAAATGGAGATGATTCCATAGGCATGGAGTAACCAGTGGCTGAAGAGGACAACAAGCCTTTTCTTCCTGACAAGAAGATCCTTGAAAGACTTGAAAAACAAGCACAGTATCCCGTTAGCCTTCAGCCCAGTACCTAGTACCTGATGTTTAAGAGATGTGCACAGAGACTGTATGGAGGAGCCTCCTGGATTTGAGCCCTTCCAGCACATAACACAGTTTCCCAGAGCACAACAAGAGGGAAATCTTGCAGAAGCTTCCTCTAGCTAAGAGGAGAAGTCAGAAAGGAAGAGGCTTAAATGTACCGTACACCCCTGAGAAAAGGCCAGAGACAAAGTGGTCTCTGCTCACTCAAGTATTTTATATTATGACTTTTAACGTAGGAAACATGTTTACCTACCTCCACTTCTGAAGCAGACATGTACACAGCCAGCGTGACCAAAGACAATACCAGGATGATGTAAGGAAAGGCATAATCTAAAGGCAAACATCGGAGGAAAAAGAATGCACTGTATACATTTCAGCAGAGATAACTACTGTACACAGCCCACCTCTTGGCCTCACACCACACACACAGCAGCAAGGGCCAGCCCAGCACGACTGCTCGATACTGCTGTCTTGGGTTTTCCAATTTAATTCTGTCAAATGCAGTCGATGGGAGCATTTCTGGGTGCAGTTACTGCACGCTCAAATCACTGACTGAGAATGGCAGATAGCGACAAAACGAGGTTGAGAGGGGATTTGTGGCACCTGTCCCCTTCATGCGACAGGTATGCCGGAAGCTAAACCAAAGATAGCTGCATTCCCCAAACTGTAACCCATCTCTGAACTCAGACAAACTCCACCTTAGCAGAAAGTGGAACTAACTCCCTCTGAATTAGTTTCCTCTCATACCAACTTTACTCCTTTTTTTGGGAAGGGAGCAGCCTGTAGCAGCACTGGCAGAGATGGAGCAGTGCTGCTCGGGAGCCTGGTTAGGACAGGGCTACTAATGAGCAGCTTCAGGTGAGACTCCTCAGAGTAACCTTAAACAATGTCCTTATTCTGAGTTTCATGTTCCTTCCCTCCCATAAATCATTTGTAAGTGTGTGTTCATAGGTACATTTATGAGTGTTACTAGGAGAGAACTCACAGAGCAGGCCTCCCCCAACGGCCTGAAGCACGGTGAGGATAGGGAAGAAGTACAGCGCTGCATAAATGCTTTTAAATCGATCAGACTTTCCTAAGCCACAGGCAATTTTCTTAACCAGAAGAGGCCGAAGTAGCATCATGAGCACAAGGCAAAAGGCGTAATATATAAACACAATGGTGTACCTGGAAAAAGAGAAAGCCTTTAAAATGTGCAGCTCCTTTTCCCCTGCAGACTCAACTCAGAAGCAGGGAATTTGGGGTTAGAGTCAGTCAAATCTAAAGAATTTACAATCAAGGGATGTAAACACAGAACGATGGGCGCACTTTTCCTAAGGGAAACAGTCGAGATGCAGCAAAGGGGGGAGAAAAAAAAGTGTCTTATGTTTCTTATGTTTGACAGTTAAATAGCCTGGACTATGCCACCTTCTTTGTGACTCACAAAGTCGTTAGGCGTGGCTCAGTGTTTCACACACAAAACCACTCAATGCAGGACAAGACTTTAGAGAACTGACACTCATCAGTCCAAGTTATAACTGAACACTTTGTGCAGCTTTGAGAAGAGGCACTGTCCTGGTTCTGCTAGGATAGAGTTAAGTTTCTTCTCAGAATAGCTGTGTTTTGGTTTTAGTTCAGACTTGTTATGAGAACATAATTGATAAAAGTGCTGATGTTATTAGTTGCTGCTGGAGCTCAAGGCCACCGTGTTTGGCTGGTTCACAGCTATTCTAACTACAGAGAAGAAAATTAACTCTATTGTAGCAAAACCGGGACAGGCACAGACAGAAACACGCGTGTCTGAAAGGAAGGGACAGAGAGGAGTACAGGAGCGTTCACACTCACAGGGGATAGACTGCTTCCTGCGTGCAGTGCACAGTGGTGATGTAGTCGGGGCTTGGGTTGTAAAGCATCGTGTACCAGTCCGAAAGCTTCTTCACCTTGCAGGAGCGGATGTGCAGGGAGCCGGCGGGGTCGCTGACCAGCAGCGTAACAACTGCTGCTACGCTGCACTCCAGCAAGGCGGTGATGTGCTGCAGCAACGCGCTGAAACTGCGCAAGGAGACAGAGAGAGAGAGATTTACTGCTATTTGCTAACACTAAAGGAAATCTAAACACCAACTGAGAAGCGGAGGCCCATGCAGAACAGAGTTATTCACCATGACTACAGATATGAGGACAGGCTGAAAGAGTTGGGGCTGTTCAGCCTGGAGAAAAGAAGGCTCCAGGGAGACCTTATAGTGGCCTCCCAGTACCTGAAGGGGCTCCAGGAAGGGTGGGGAGGGATTTTTTTAAGGGCAGGGAGTGACAGAACAAGGGGAAATATCTTTAAACTGGAAGAGGGGAGGTTTAGATTAGATATTAGAAAGAAATTCTTCACTGTGAGGGTGGTGAGACACTGGAACAGGTTGCCCAGAGAAGCTGTCGATGCCCCCTCCCTGGACGTGTTCAAGGCCAGGCTGGATGAGGCTTTGAGCAACCTGGTCTAGTGGAAGGTGTCCCTGCTGATGGCAGGGGGGTTGGAACTGGATGAGCTTTAAGGTCCCTTCCAATCCAAACCATTCTGTGATTCTATGACAACGCTGCTTGAATAAAAAGTTAAGTATGTGAAGCTGAATGTGAAAACTCATTCACAATCTCAGATGATTTAATGTGTAAGATGTGATTGAACAACATTCTGGCTTCTTAAACAAAAGCTGGCTGCAGCACGAGCAACTGTCAGGTGAGGGACAGCAACACTCAGGCTGTTGCAGTTTCAAAGAAAGCAGCAGTGAGGATAACACCCCACACGTCCCACAAGGGATAACGATGTGACACACGATATCAGCAAAATTCTCAAAGCCGCAGGTCCTTGTTACAGATGTTTGACATTCACGTGTTAAACTCTCTCAGTCCCCCCCCATTTTCAGTGTTTAGTGCACTCACTCCACAGTCATTATTTCTTAAAAGTTCCCAGTCTAGCACCTAATGGCCACATGCAGCTGGGGTTTTAAATCTCTTTTTTACAGAGCTTCCTTGATGGAAGGGAAGGGACACAAAGATGATGAGGGGCCTGGAGCATCTGCCTGACGAGGAGAGGCTGAGAGAGCTGGGACTCTTCAGCCTGGAGAAGAGAAGACTGAGAGGGGATCTGATCAATGTCTATAAATATCTGAAGTGTGGGGACCAAATGGATGGGGCCGGGCTCTTTTTGGTGGTGCCCAGTGACAGGACAAGGGGCAATGGGCACAAACTGGAACACCAAAAGTTCCAGACAACCCTTCGGAAAAATTTCTTTCCTGCGAGGGTGTTGGAGCCCTGGGACAGGCTGCCCAGAGAGGGTGTGGAGTCTCCATCTCTGGAGATGTTCAAACCCACGTGGACACTTTCCTGTGTAACCTGGTGTAGGTAACCTGCTTTGGCAGGGGAGTTGGACTGGATGATCTCCTGAGGTCCCTTCCAACCCCACCATTCTGTGATTCTGTGATGCACCATGCTGATGTAAAGCTTACACCAGCATAGCTGATGTATACCCAGTGTGCATACTCCTAAAGAGAAACCTCAAACCCATTCTCTCACTGCACGTGCACAGCACCTTTCAGCAGGGCCTCTGCAGGAGGTAGGTCTGGCCCAGGAGAGAGGAGACAACACAACACACTGCTCCTGCTCGCTACTGGGAAACCCAACCCAGCATAAATTGCCAAATGGCCTGGGCACCACCACGTTAAAGAGATCCAGACCACATCCTGAGGGCAGTGACTGGCAAGAAGGACCTGCAGGACTCTCATATCTGTAAATAAACTCCCCCTCCAGCTGCCCTAAGCTTATGTGCCACCGTATCAGCTCAATCAACAGCATGAGCTGCTGGACAGTTCAGTTCAGCATCTCAGATTGATCACACGTGGAAATGAGAGTTCCATTTTAAAATAACTTTTTAAAAGGAGGGGTACACGAACCTCTTTTTTCCTGAATACCACTCAATAAAGAACCAGTGTAAAACCAGGGGCAGCATGGCCATGAAGCCAAGGTAGAGCCAGTCGTAGCGGTCTGGAGATCCCAGACATTCCCGGCAGATTTTGTTGTCATCGGTTCTTTGACCTCTGGGGCAAACCTACAAAAAAACAGAGACTGTATTTACACAGCTTCTGAGCATAATAATGAACCTGAACCACTGCAGTTTCTGGAAAAACAGCTTGAAGCAGTAGCAGGGCAAGAAACAGATCAGATTTTTAAAGAGATGAAACATTAACCCAGCGATTTCTCAGCTTACACTGGCCTGGCTCTCTCTGGCCCTTGTTTCTGAACATGAACCCAGGTGAAGCATGTTTAAAAGGCTTCATCCCAGAGTCCCTTTTCCTCTCCTGCTGTCACATCACCTTCCTCTCATCACTGAGCTCACTCATCAGGACACCCACAACCTTGCTCTCCCCTCATCCCGCCCTCCCTGGGTCTTGCTCTCCCTTAGGACTCCAATAAAACCGGTGAGATTTCAGCAGAGCGATTTCCACGCAGCTTTCCCCACCAGCCTGTCCTGTTCCCGCTTTTGCGGCCCCTCCGATCGCCTCTGGTTCAGCACCGAGCCTTCAGCACCGCCTTCGGGGAACGCTTCACGGAGCGGCTCCCGCTCCCCGAGGCACCGCGGGGTTGGGCTGCATCAGCCCCCGGGGCGCTCCGGCCGAGAGGACGCGGGGCCAACCCGCTCCCCGCTCCCCAGGCCGAGAGCCCCTCCCGCGCCGCCCTTACCCC